TTGTTTTTTCTATGCACGTTTAGTGTATCAAAAAATGTTCTTTCTCTTTTAAGGTTGAATTGTCATTCATTACATATACACCAACTATTCTTGTTGATTCTCTAAAGATGTTCATATTAATTCCTAGACTTGCAAATATGCAAAATATATGCACATATTGCCTATTTTGCATATTTCATGCAAATATCTGGGAATTTTGCAACTTTATACAAACAATTGCATAAAATGTATAAACATCAATTTATTTCGAATTCTTCTCCTTCTTCTTTTTATATAGACGTGACTCTGTCTGTTTTTCAATGTGCCTCTAATAAGTTATCATTCCATCGTTTTCGTGGTCTTACTACTGATCGTCTTCCTATTGAAGAACCGTCTCTTGCCGTCTTTACTACTCTATTCGTTTTCATTCGGCTTATATGATCGTTCCATTCTATTCTTCTACTTCTTACCCAGTTTTTGATGTTCTCCACCTTGCATCTACGTCGTATATATGTACATACTTCTAGCTCTGTCCCATAGTATCTTACCACCAATTTTTCTAACATCCTTTGTCCTCTCTGTGTCAGGTCTTGTTTCTGCCGCGTATGCCATTATTGGTCTGATGAATCTTTTGTAAATTCTGCCTTTTATTTCTCCATATTGTTTCATTTAGGTAGCCTGAGCTTCGGTTTCGAGCTTTCTGTAGCTAGATAATGTGATGCCTAGATATTTAAACTCTATCACTTATTCTATTATCTGACATTCCAGCTCTAATTTACAAAAATTTGAACAGTTAATCTAGGGGCCAGTTAGGCCACTGTGGCCTTTTCAATTCTGATGGATCCACCCAAGCTTTTTTATGTATTTTTGGCAGCAGCTTACGAATTTTGAGGGTAAATTTCGATCAAGTGGTCAAAAAAGTGGTCGAAAATTTATAAACATAAATTGTTTATAAGACTTTAGCTCGCTAATTAAAACACCTGAGAATTTTTTTTGCAAATTAAATTTGTTCTTTGAAATAAAAATAAAGAAAATGGCGTTTACTTAACTTTAATAAAATGATTATAACTCTAGATATTATAAATTAGTGTAACATGGTTGCAAAATAAGTATTTTTCGAAGCTTTATCTTTATTTGTATTAAAGTTATACCCACTTGAAGTTGTAATTTTCTTTAAAAATTTGTATTGTTTTTAGTTTGTTGTTTTTGTTCTTTTGTTTGTATTTGTATGTTTGTGTTTATTTATTAGGGTTTTAAGCTAATTTAAAGAATAAACATTTATACTCAAATTAACAGTAATGAAAAAATTACTAAAAAGGAACCTTTTGAGCTTGGGAAAATGTTCGTAGGTTTATCTTGGGCCATATTGTTATAGCCCGCTATGAGGTGCAAGATCGACGTTTCAAGTCGAGATGTTAATTACCCAATACGAAGAATGATTGCTGATCTGCGGGTTCCTGGAAGGAGTCGTGAGAGAAAGAATAAAGAAGACTTAGGTGAGACGTTCAGGCAGGACATATTCATAAGGGAGGTTGATATTGGTATGACCCCATGTAAAAACTTATGAAGAAATGTAATTAGTGCAGCCAAGCCGCATAGGTATAAATACAAAGAGAATGATGAATGATATATATGTATATACCAGGTCTGCTAGTACGATACCACGATTTTGATGCAATCAGGGATGTTTCTTTTTATAAATTGGTAGGATCCAGTTTTATTCCAGACTTTTGCCTTTCTTTCTACTATATATATTTTTATTATTGGTTGCATAGTCCCTTTCTTACTATTTGTCCACTTTTTATGATTTATGTAGTAACCTGGTGTATTCTATTGCTATCGATCATATTATTAGTGATGGGTGTGGGGCTCAAAATAAAAATACAATTTTACTTGGCATGCTGGTCAAATGGTTGCGAAATACGCCAAATCATGTAACGGAGTTCCAGCTCGTTTTTCCAATGACAGGTCACAGCTTTCTCCCTCATGATCGCGTTTTCGGAAAAATTAAGAAGAAAATCAGAAATCGTGAGGTAATCGTTGGCCATGCGGAATATATTTAAATATTAGATAGGTTTGCTGGTGTTTAAAAGCTTTGAGATGAAGTAACAGTTGCAAATTGAAAAACGGTAACAAAGGAAGAAGAAGAGAAGAAGACTATCTCAAACAAGATACACGAAAAAAGAACAAACCATGGATAACAGAAGAAATTCTAAACATGATGGACTAAAGAAGAAAATACAGAGGTAAAAATGAAACAACATACAAGCAAATACACAAGAATATCAGAATAAAGATCCAACAAGCCAAAGAAACCTGGCTAAGTGAAAGATGCCAAGAAATTGAAGAGTTGGAACAAAGACATGATACTTTCAATCTACATAAAAAAGTAAAAGAAGCCGCTGGAATATTTAAACAAACTCATACGTCTTTCATCGAAGATAAACATGGGAACCCGCTACTGAACATAGAAGATCAAATAGGTAGATTAAGAGAATACGTGAAAGAGATGTTTCAAGACCGAGAGAGGACGAACATTTACATGCAGGAGGCATCGACTGGACCTTATATCACAAAGCAAGAAATTATTAAAGCGGCAAATCAGATAAAGAACGGAAAAGCTGTTGGGGAAGATAATATCCCAATTGAAATAATAAAGATATTACTAGACGCACATATCGAAGTAATGGAAGATATATTTAACAAAATATACGAAACAGGCATAATACCAAATGATTGGCTGACATCGGTGTTTATACCACTACTAAAGAAGAAAAACTCCAAGAAATGTGAAGACCATAAGATTATTAGCCTGATGAATCATATATTGAAACTTTTACTACGAGTAATACATAATAAAGTTTACAATAAACTAGACGAACACACTGGTCAAACTCAGTTTGGTTTTAAGAATGGGTTCGGAACAAGAGAAGCACTTTTTTCAATACATGTGCTAGTTGAAAGATGTAGAGATGTCGATTCTGATGTATACTTGTGTTTTATAGACTTTCAGAAGGCGTTTGACCTGGTGAAACATGATAAACTAATAGATATTTTAAGGTCATGTAATATCGACGATAAAGACTTAAGGTTCATTTCAAACCTCTACCAAGAACAAAAGGCTAAAATCAGAATAAAAAGCGAAACATCTGGAAAAATCAATATCAAGAAGGGAGTAAGACACGGATGTGTCCTATCACCTTTGCTGTTCAATGTTTACTCTGAGAAGATATTTCAGAAAGCTTTGGAAGGCACCTCGGATGGTATACTTATAAACGGGCAATGTATAAATAACCTGCGATATGCTGATGACACTGTCATACTGGCAAATAATGCTGAAGCCCTGCAACGCTTCATGGACCGAGTAACGACAGCCTGTAGAGAATTTGGAATGAAATTGAATACAAAGAAGACAAAAACGATGGTCATCAGCAAGCACCAAAACAGAAGGGTGAAGGTCAATGTCGACGGAACAGATATGGAAAGAGTAACAAGAACAACGTACCTTGGAAGTAATCTTGATGAAACTTGGGACCACTCACTAGAGATAAGAATACGCCTGGAAAAGGCACGTACAATGTTTTACAAAATGCAAAAAGTTCTATGCAACCGCCAGCTGGGCATCTCATTGAGAACTAGTGCTATATTTTCTCCACCTTGCTCCATGGTGTTGAAGCCTGGACAATGACAGAAGCAACACAAAAAAGAATCCAAGCATTCGAACAAAAAAGAATCAAGTGTTACCGTAAAATGCTCAGAATATATTACATGAGCCATACGACAAATGCGGAAGTCTTGCGGAGAATGAATAAGGAAAGAGAGCTTATGCTTATAATAAAAGACCGGAAAACACAATATTTTGGTCACATCATAAGAAATCAAAAGTATGAACTGCTCCAACTTATAATCGAAGACAAAGTCAATAGCAAAAGAGGACCAGGAAGAAGCAAGAAGCAAACCTACGGCAATGGATGAACATGACCTCCATAGAACTATTCAGGGCTGCTACAAATAAGGTTAAATGGGCAAATGTAATGGCCAACGTCCTTAAGGATAAGGCACCGTAAGAAGAACAAAGGAAGTCATAAAAGCTCCGGTTCTTTGCATGTTGGCATACAGTTATGTAAGCGACTTTACTTTATCCGAAAGAAGCTACAAAATATCACACGTGTTTTGGTTTAAGATGAGACAACTTACAAGTGGAGAAGTAAAGTTGCGGACACTGCACGAAGCATCACTAAACGAGGACAAACTTTGCGTAGCTTAAGGCCCAAGACTATTGCTAAAGGTAATTTCATAGTAAAACTCCAAAAGAAAGACGACTCTAAATTTCTAAAATTCTCTTTTAAAGAAACATTATGGAGATAAATGGAGAAAATGTGAAAAATTACATTTTACAAGCATGTATTAGACAATCCAGAAGAAGGAGTTGCAACTGAAGAAAATAAAGTATGCCTTGCTGTTGATTAGATACCTCTTGATAGATATCTTCTGTCTTAGGAAACAACTAACATGGCTTCGAATGGACGCAAATAGCAACATCTGATATTAAATCCGTAAAATAATTTTCGAAACCAAATTCAGATTTTTGCTTTAATCTGTGCCTTCTAAGAATTGCAAGGCAAAACAGACGTTGATAAAGATGTTATTAGAGACATGGGGAATCTAAAATTTGCGTTGAATATTTTAAAGTAAAATTTGCGCAAAATAAACCAAATTTTTCAAAAAAAAAAAACTGAATTTATTATACCTAAATTATATTCGTAAAGTATTATGGAACTTTTTTACCTGAACATCCTCATTAAGCTTGGTTTTAAAATTAACTGTTTCCACCTTGTTAGAGTGCAGACCTCACATTCTCCAAATTTTAGTACCAAAAGTAACATTATCCAAATTAACGTTTGTAGACGTTTTTTTATTCCTCTAAAATTTTAAAAAGTGGAGAATGTGGCTTTTGCATCTATACCCTTCATATAAAATGATGAAATTGTTTCAAAGGGAACGAACCATATGTAACTTACCTTTTAATTCTCCAAAAAAATCTTTGTATTTCTGAAATTCCACGCCATGAACAAAAGTGTCCCGACAAAATGATCCGTTTACGAAACTCTGACCATCTGGACAACATTTCCGCACACACTTAACTCTTTTACAATATCTCCAACTTTTACATAGTCTTACGACATCCTTTCCATCTACTGTGTTGTCCAAACAAAACTGGTTTTCTAAATATGTTTCACCTGTTTTCAAAACGGTAAGAGTTTTGTTATAGATTACATCTGTTTTGAAATTAATTATCATATCTAAAATGATTTCACATTGTAAACCAATTTTTAATATTTCTCTCCTAAATGAATTGGTTTTATTTGTCAATTTTGCACAAGACCTTGTAGTTTGATTATAAAAATACTCAACCGGGCAGCATTTGGTGAGCACAGACAAATCTTCTGTTTTAGACATTGTTAATCCTTCTTTATTAAACTTCGAAACAGTTTTTTCAAAAATATCCATGCACTGTGTATTATTAACATCTTTTTCGAATTCCAGATTAGTCCTTATCACTTCAGAACCTGTTGCGTTATCATCTCTGTCCTTGCATGAATACACACCTCTATTAAAAACCACTTCCTTTTCACAACATTTATGCAACTTTTGACCACCGTTCAGCAGATCCGCCACTATCAATACAAACGAGTAAAACAATTGTTCACGCATTCTTCTAAAAATATATAACACGTTTATCTCAAGATCTTCATCATGACTGACGTTATATTCGGATGGATCTTTTCCCGTTTAATTTGAGACTATGACGATAGCCATATATCATCTGGGATTTGTTTATATATCGAAAAAATCCCATTGTATATTTTATTAATAATCATATGCGTTTATAATTGAAGCAATAAGAAAAATTAGCGAGAAACAAGAAAATCTTTTTCCGTTATTTTAAGAAATCTGCTTTATATTTTAAATTTTTTAGTAAACAATTCTAGATAAAATTAACAATAATAATAAAACAAAGGAATTCAAGAAAAATGTACAGACCGTTATATGCAGATGCTAACCATATTATTCAAAGAACAATAAACTATTTTTGATTTTTTTTTTTCCTAACAATAAACTATGTTTAACATAGAAAGTCAAAATAAACAAAAACGGGCACCTATTATAAGGTCTTTAGTAACGATATATCGAGAAGAAATTATAATTATAATCACAGTTAAATTAAGGAACCGAATCACAAAAACCGATTGTGAAAATGAGTATACATGATGTTATAGAAGTCATAAAGAAATATGAAATATCAAAGGAAGTTGGTATAAAAATTGTTGATGTCACTCCCAGATGCTTCCTCTAATTTTCTCAATTATAATTTAATCCTTTGTTGTCGCTCCACTCATTCTTCTAAGCATTCTCTTTCCGCCACACGCATAAGTTGTTGCTCTTTCTTTTTAACTGCTCGACACTCAGTTTCATACATCATGGCTGGTTTTATCTCAGTTTCATAGAAGTTTCTCTTCAGTTTTATTGGAATCTTTTTGTCATAAAACACACGACTCACTATCTTTCATTTCATCCATTTCACCCTAATTCTATTGCAATCATCTCCATCTATTTTTCAATTACTCTTTAATACCGATCCTAGATACTTAAAACTATTATTTTTTACAACTATTTCACCATTTAAAGTTATCATTTAATTTGTAGAAACTTCATCTTTAAATTAACGTTTGAAATACTTTATTTTGGTCCTACTAAGTTTTAAACCTTTTTTCTCCAGAGCTTGTCACCCCTATACCAGTGTTTGTTCTAAATCGATTTTAGTATCTTCTATTAACACTACATTATCGTTATTAGTACCGACCAGAATCAATATAATTTAGGTAACAAAATAGGAAACGATGTGCTTAAAATTAAAAACTGGTTTACACATAATAAACTAAAACTAAACGAGGATAAAAATCAAAATATAGTTTTCAGTTCAGATCGAAGACACATTTTTGGATATAGCATCAAATTGTTAGGGATTTTTATGGATGACAACTTAGATTGGGGCATCCATATAGACAACTTAAGTTCTAAACTCGCCAGTACAATATTTGTAATGCGTAACCTGGTTTATTTGGTACCTAAAAGTACCCTTAAAATGTGTTACTTTTCATTGTTTCATAGTCATATACAATATGGAATAGCTATTTGGGACAACTCTGGTCATGCCGACAGAATATTTAAATTACAAAAGAAGGTGGTGAGGATACTTGCCGGAGCGGATTTAAGGGATCATCAGGAACATTTTTGTTACTTCCATATTTCAAAGATTTTTTATGTGACAGTTTAGGTTTTTTTTGGTTAGAGATCTTTTTTATCTTAAATTTTTAATTTTAATTCTTCTGCTAATACTTACATAAGGTAATTTTAAGTTTACATTATTATATCTTTTATTGTATTTTTTATACGGACTTCAAACTTTATATAAAGTGGTCAATAAACGTTCTATCTATCTATCTATCTATCCATCATCAGTCCACATTAACATCACGAATCTTATCCTGTAGTTTCACTGTTGCTTAAAACATTTCTCAGTCTCTTCCACAGCTGTCCTAATACGATTGCTTATTAGGCGTGATGTCAAATCTTGGATTTCCATTGGCTTCGTAATCCCTCGCGCTACGCCGTTAGTTGACGCCAATCCATCATGCCGTCTGCTCGTGAGTGGCGATACACCGCGTCATGTTATCGCGCCACGCTCCCGTCAATGTCCAAAGCCTCGTCAATTTTTCGGTCATCATTCCACGCTGAAACGTCGAGCACGATGCACTGCTTTGTAGTGAATAGTCAATAAAGACAGACCCACATAGTCCAATCGTCATAGAATTAACCTCTAAAAATCACACAAGCAAGCTGAATTTTACCGAGAATATTAATTTTGGGGTCTCAAAAGAGATGCAAAAACGTTTACCACTTTTACCCCGGGCTTTCCCCTAAAAATCCCCCTCGTAGGGGTTTAAAAACGATAAAAAATCGATTTACCAAGAATCTGTACACAGTAGAAAAAAATATTTTATATAATAAATGTAGCTGAGATAATTCTAAACAAAACTATTCATTAGCACCTTTTGTGTAGAATGAACCGTTCTCTCACAAACAACGCTTGAAGCGATCGTCGATTTAGAATGTCAGTTACGTGCGCGAAATCAATGTTTAATAAAACTTGTATCAGCTCGACGGTAAAAATTCGATATACTTTGATCAAAGTGTCCTATCGTCAAAAATCAAGATGCGTTTTAAAGGTAAATAATGCAGCTTTTGTATAAAGTTTTGGTATTTTGCTGCAAATTAGCTTATTTTTTAAAAATGTATTAAATAAATATACGTGACGCGATTTTTGCCATTTTGTTTCGATTCTCGTGAGATCGATAAAATTGATCACGTTTTTTGATCAGTCGTAATTTCCATTTTTTAGAGGTTATTCTTTAGAGAACATATGAATGAACTTTTAATTTTGAGTTGTGACAACAAAGATGAGGCATTTGAAATATGAATAAAAAACGCAGAATTTAATGTTTTTCATTTCAAACCATCGCACGTCACGGAAAATGCCTCCAAGAAGGCGGTTTTGGGTGTAGTTTATAGCAGAAGTTTAGTTCTTTTCAAAAACGTACCAGTTTAAGGAAAAAAAGATTTAAACGTTTCAGATTGTTTGTTATGTGTAAGTTTAAATCCAGCTTTTTAAGCATTTCTCAAATATCCCACATTTGTTGCCAAAACTCAAAACTAAAATGTCATGGCATAGGTTTTGAATGTTGGGCTCTAGTAATCGAAATATTATAGTGGCCACTCAATAAAAGGGATGAATTATATTGATATCATGAGAATAATAAAAAAATGGCAAAATCGCGCCACGTTTATTTATTTAACACCTTTATAAAATCTGAGTTTTCTTCTTCTTGAGGTGCTTGTCCGTTCCGAACGTTGGCGATCATTCTGGCTATGATGATTTTGTTGGTTGCTATACGAAATAGCTGTGTTGAGGTCTTTCTATACCATGCTCTCAGGTTAGCAAGCCAGGATATTCTTCTTCGTCCTGGGGCTCTTTTTTCTTCAATTTTACTCTGCAAAATGCATTGGAGTAGCTCGTATCTGCCTTGATTTCTCATTATATGTCCCAAGTACTCCAGCTTACGGCTCTTCACAATGTTGGCCAAATCCGCGGTTGTGTTCATCCTCCGTAGTACTTCTTCATTGGTGACTTTGTCTGTCCATGGTATCTTCAGGATTCTTCTGTATAACCATAATTCAAACGCCTGAAGTTTTGATAGAGATTCCGCCTTCAATGTCCACGTTTCTACTCCATACAGAAGCACTGAGTATACGTAACATTTAAGGAGCCTTACTTTTGTTTTCAGGGTGAGGTCATGGCTTTTGAACACAGAGCTCATAGCCAAGAATGCACTTTTGGCCTTTCCGATGCGACATTTAATCTCTTGGGTATTGTCCCACGACCCATTGATTATAGTTTCCATGTAATTGTATTGTGGGACACGTTCAATTCTCATTTGGTTCACATACAGATTTGCTCCAGTTATGTTTTGCTTGTTGATGATCATTAGCTTGGTTTTGCTGGTGTTTATATCCAGTCCATAGGTTCTACTTGTTTCTGTTATTTTGTTCATTAAGTTTTGCAGCCCTTCTATGGTATTGGAAAACACTATTGTATCATCTGCATACCGCAGGTTATTAAGCTTGACTCCATTTATTGAGATGCCTTCATCAATATCTTTTAGGGCCTCTTCAAAAATGTGCTCCGAGTACAGATTGAATATCAGTGGTAAAATTATGCACCCCTGTCTCACTCCTTTTAAGATTTGAGAATTTGAGTTTAGTTGCGGCAAAATACAAAAATTGTATACGAAAACTGAACTCGTTACCTTTAAAATACATCTTGATTTTTATCGACAGAATATTTAAATCAAAAGATGTTGAATTTTTACCGTCAAGCTGATACACATTTTGTTGAACATTGATTCTAAGATATGATTGTGTTAAGAAATATTTTTGTTTAAAATCATATCAGCTACATTCTTTATTTAAACCATTTTTTTCTACAGCGTAAGGATTGTTTCATTCCCCTACGTGGGGTAGGTTTTAGCGGGAATCCCCAAAAAGTGGTAAACATTTTTGCATTTTTTTGGTCTCTGACCACTGGAGTAAGAGTAGAATTACTGACCGAGATGGTATCCGGAAGTAAATCATTCATTGAATTTATTGATAACTACAAGGAACTGGAATGATTGTGGTAGGCTTGTGGTAGGTGACTGACAAGAACTGTAGAAATAAATAAAAACGTAGTACTGCTATAGGCAACTTCTAAAAACGTCATACAATCTCAAGATCCTAGTGCAAACTAAATACTCTATTAAAAAAATTAATTCACTAAGAAGTTCATTTAACAAAGAACACAATAAGGTTATTTGTAAATTTTACTTTGCTTAACTTTTCTTATTAGCTAGGAGGTTTAGAGCGTGGTCTCCTATGCGGGAGGTCCAGGATCGAATCGCGCCTTTCTTTCTTCTAATGTTGTAATTATATTTATGAAAAAACGAGGCATGAGCAATGAAGACAGTATTTTTGTGCAACACAGGTACAACTGGAAACATAACAACCAAGAAATTTAGATAATCTGATAGACATAGAATTTTATGACTAGGTAATCTAATAGATTGATTTGATTGCACCTCATTAAAATTCCTTAGAAATGCTGTTAATAAGGTTATGAT